AGGCAGGTGAGCCCGAGACCTCTCGAGGTCCGGACAAAGGTAAGAAAAAATATAAATCAGAATTATTTGTTTATCATTTTGACAAAGACACAAAAGATGGCATAGTTTATGGAACTTGTAAACATTGCGGGACCGTCATAAAAATGGGAGTTTCCGGCGGTTATGGCGGTCCGGAAAAACACCTAAGGTCGAGGCATCCCGTGGAGTACGCCAAATACGAGGCCAAAACAAAGGGACGACAAGAAGTGCAAACCCAAATTTCTCGGTTTGCTAACAGAGGTAAGGGCGGCCTTTTTGCTTATAGCGACGAGCAAAATAGGCAAAAAAATGGCCGAAATGATTTGTGAAGAAAATTTGTCATACATGTTTTCTGAAAAACTTGGTTTTATTGATTATTGTCAACTGGCATTAAACCCTCAAGCACGAGGTTTTTCAAGAAAAACAATTAAACGAGAAATTATTCGCTAGTATAAAATGGAAAAAATTAATTTGGCAAATTTTATTCTCAATTTTAATTCTCGTGTTGCTATTTGTTCTGATATTTGGGGTGAAACTTATCATAATTTGTCTTATATGGGTGTTACTTGCCATTGGATAGATAGTGATTGGATTATGCATAAACGTGTTATTGCATTTCGTGATTTCAATGATCAGCATACTGCTGAAAATGTTTTCCTATTGCTTCAGAGTATTCTGCGGGAATATAACTTATTTGAAAAAGTTTTTTCATTTGGTTTTGATAATGCTACTAATAATACTGCTGCTATTCCTAGACTTAGAGAAATTTGCCCACCGTCTACGACTATGGGCAGATTTCTGCATCAACGGTGTGCCTGTCATGTTTTAAATTTATGTGTTCAACAGGGACTACAAGCTATGGGCGGAGTTTTGACAAATATTAAAGAAGGAATTAAAAAAATTTGGGGGGCTCGTCTTATTTCGAGATCCTGGAAGATGTTCTGTAAGTCTAAGGGTAAAAAGGAAATAAGTTTTGCCAGAGATATCAACATTAGATGGAATAATACTTACAAATTGATTGCACAAATCCTAAGATATAAAGAGGAACTTGCTGAATTTTTTAGGGATGAACTTCGTATAATCATTAATCCTTTTGAATTTGTTATTGTTGAAAAATTGAATGCCGTATTAGAAGTTTTTAATAACGCAACTCTTACTTTTTCCCATGTTTACCAACCAACTACAAATACATTTTTTAAAGAGTGCATTACAATCACAACATGTTTTCGTGAAAGTATGGCTGATCCAGATTTGTACCCTTATGTCTCTCCTATGAGAGATAAATGGTGTACTTATTATTTGTACATTCCTGATATTTATAAAATAGGTATTATTTGTGATCCACGATTTAAGATTGAAAATTTTAAAATTCTAATTGAGTATTACTACAGTTGTTTTTTAGATAAAAATAGTTATTACTACAGCTATTTAGTAGAATGGAAAAATGAAAGAGATAATGCTATAACTCTTTTTGAGGATTTGTTTAAGGAATATCAAGGGTTATACGGTACTGTACAAGAAGAAACAGCACCACCTCCGCCCCCGAAATCAAAAAAAGGTTTTGCCGGCATAGTCGGTGGNCTTCTTGCAAAGAAAGGGAAACGTGCCCAGTCTTCGACGAGTTCAAGTGGTACAACAGTAAGCTCGCACAACGAACTTGCTATGTACCAGGGTGTGCCATGCGATTACGATGACGACGATGTCGATTTTGACGTGCTCGGATGGTGGAAGCGGAACGAACACATGTTCCCATGTCTCGGCATGCTAGCAAGACAAGTGTTGTCCGTCCCAGTATCAACCGTAGCAGTTGAACGAAAATTCAGTGCTGGCGGCAACATTCTAACCGACTACCGAAGTTGTCTTAACGCTGAATCTCTTGAAACACTGGTTTGCAACAAAGATTGGCTCTTGGCAAGACGTCGGGCTCAAGAGTTATCGTACCAACTCGAATCGGAGCATTACATGAATGCAACCACAGATGGAAGTCCGAGTTCTGAAAAATAAGTTATAAATTTTTTTTATGTTAATGTAAATATGTAATTAATTTTTTTAGGTGAGCGATATATAAGCTCCTTCGAGGGTTTCTTTACGGTTCTTTACCTCGTCGCTTTTTTTGAACCGTCAGGATATTAAATGTGATTGTTCTTCAGTTAGTGTATTACTCATTTTCAATATTTAAATAACAACTACATTTTTAGATTTTTTATTTCATTCTTTCCTTAAACAATTGCAAATTTACAATTTTATAATTTAAAAATTTAAAAAAAAAATTGGGGGGGGGGGGGGCGAAACCGGCCGGTCCGGTACCGGAACCGCCGGTCCGGGAACCGGTACCGGCCGGCACGGTATAATATCCGGTTACTCGGGGTGGCGGTACCGGAACCGGCGGTTCCAGAACCGGAACCGTCCCGGAACCGTACCGTGTCCACCCCTAGTAACACTACAGTTATTTAACAAAATCAGTTCGAGAACCTTGATCAGCAAAAACCACTTAGCGAGGCAGCAAGTACTAATCAAGTGACACTTGGTTTCTAGAAAAATTCGGCTATTTAAAGCACTCTGGACTTTAAAAGAATATCATTTTAAACTGGATTAGGCACGCGTTCCTAATTTGGTCCAATTTAAGTAAAATCTGGTGAATAATAGTTCTTAGAACACCTTTTCGAGTTTAGATTTAACAGTAGCATAGAGCTAAAATCTCTTCAAAGTCAAATTAATTCAACAAACAAAGATTCAATCTTTTTGTCAAACAATCCGGCCTAAGAAGGTTTTGTAATTTCAGAGACAATAATAAATCAATAAATCATATTTGAACAATTCAACATCAACACACAACCAAATCAACACTTATAATATAACTTAAACATTCAATACAAAAACAAGATTTGAAAATAACATACTCCTCCGTCCCCTGTATTTGTCCACATTTGACTTTTGAAACTGTTCATCTAAGCACTTTGACTTATCAAAATTTCTCAATGTGTAAGCCTAAATATAGTCATGTGTGATCTTGTTTGATTTGTCTTAACATATAGATTATTAATATATAATTTTTTAATATACAAATTACAAGATAAAATGGATTAAAGAAGTGCATTGGATGGTGTGTAAAAATGAAAGTGGACAAATACAGCGGAACGGAGGGAGTACTTAATATTGGATATCAAATTCATCAATTTTGAAATTAAACAAATTCAAAATTCTAGTTCAGAGAAAATAAAAGTTGAAAGTAAAAGAAATGTTCCCTGAAAGTGTCTTCTTCGCACGATGCACAAAGCCGAGACCAGATGCCGACCTTGAGCCGCCCGTCATCGCCGTCATCGGAATCCATGGCTGCGGCCGGAATGGTTGCCGTCGGACTGCCGGAGTTGTCATCGCCGACCTAGGGTCGGAACCCTAGGCCGGCACTTCTCTATTCACGATCTCCCTCTTTCCTATCCGTCTCCATCCTTTTATAACTGAAATTGAAGTCATTGAATTACTGAAGAAGTCTGTGTGCGATCCATTTCTTTGGCCATGTTTGCTCCTTCACGTTTCCTTCTTTTTCTTTTCTTTCTTTTATTTTGTTTTGATATTTTATACATATAATTAATGCTTTGGTCAACATGAATGGATTTCAATGCTCCGTATTAATTGGGCCAACTTTGATTTTGGCCCAATCACTTCTTCCTTTCTTTAATTTGACTCCAATCTCCAAAGGTCTAGCTCTTTATTTCCTTCAACTTTTGATGTTTTAAAATCTAAAGAATTATGTCAAGAAAAATAATACTTCCAAAATAATTATCAAATAATAGAAATGCTCAAAATCATGCATTTTATGTATAAAATGTAACCAGCGGCCTAAAATGCTAAATAGAACAAAATATGATTATTTAGGAATAAACT